CGGTGGCAGAAAAAATTCTGTCCTTGCAATTTATTGCAATTCGGGAACCATGTTGCAATCACAAGGCACCTCATGGCAGAAGGGACAGTCATGCTCTCACTCAAATCCATTTCCACAAACACTTCAATGGTTGAAGCTATTTTTAAAGGAACCTCTACCCCTAGCTTCACATAGTTAAGGTAGTTGTGAATTCAATCAATCAGGGGAATTTAGCCATTTCACGCTTGATTGCCGTTAAAAAAGAGGGGAAACATTTTGTGGGCACCATTATTAACTTTTATTTACAAGGGATTTAGAATGAGCTTCATACAAACATATCGCACTGAGGGTAACGTCCCACACCCTCCCTTTGTCGTAGATACACTTGCAGGTTGTTTTGTCTGAAAAGGACATACTTAAGGGTGATTTTTTCTTGGTTAGTGTTCACGTACAGGCCAGAAAACTTGTTTTTTTCGGCCAAGGATTTTTTACGAGAAGGTAAATTTCATCTGGTTTGAAACTTAAAAATGCACCTATAAAGCTGCATGTAATTGAGGCATCTGGAAGAACATCTGCGTGACGGGTTACCACAACAAACGGCAGTTTTCACCATTTCGTGTCAGCGTGCATAATGTGACATCATCGGACAAGATAAACGACATTTTTTCTTGCAAAATTCGTCGAAAGGGGGGCCTTTTAAGTTTATATTTTAATTTTCCTTTTAGTTTTAAATCAATCAAGATTTTATAAGATGTTAAGAGCCATGGAATTCTGTGAAAGTAACCTGAGATTTCATAAAAACTTTACACCTCGGGCAGGATGTTGTGCAAGATTTTGTGATATAAATGACTTCTGTAGATTATTTCACATGAATTTAATATAATCATGGATCAGCCAAGTCACCAAAGGAAATGGTGATTTTTAAACGAATTGCAGTGGACACGCTGATAACTTGTCTCAGCCAAAGTAGATCGACAAAGAAGCAGTCCAGAGGATATTTTCTCCAAAAATGTAACGCAGGGGTGTCCAGATCTCCTCCAATGATGCTATTGATAGGACATGTCTAAAATGATAGGCTATCAGAGCCGATACACTGAAGGTTCACATAAAGGAAAAGCATGGTGCTACTCACTCCAAATCGGGGTGTTATTTGTCGAAGCCACAGGCTCCTGTGTCACGGTAAACTGAGAGCGGTATACAATATTTACGAATTTGGAAAAAATAAATGCGTGCAGAAATTCACGTTTCATGGATGGTCGTCTCCACACTGATTTCATTTAATTATGGCAGCTGATTTCTGAGACTTTATTAACCTGATCTTACTTCTGTTACGGCTCAAGTTAAAAGTCCGTGGTGTAGTATTCCTTTTACATGTTAACCCATCTATCATACTCACGCAAAACACATTTGTGTGGGTTTTTCCTGTACCGAAACTTTACCTTGTTCTATCAACTGGGAGCATTAATCAATTTTCTCATTTGCTTTGTCAGATGTCGAATACTTTTACTTAAACTAATTAGAAATTAACATGTGACCCTTTTGGGGCTTCCCCACACTTATAGACCTTTTCCACATTATCCTCCCCGAAAGGAGGCTAGTGATAGCAAACAGAAAGATCTAAGTCGCTGCTACCTCAGTTTGGTTTATGGCAATATTTGTCAGTAAATACATAAATGCTTTGTGTGTCTAACAGTAAAGAGGGGAATATTACTAACCAAACGACTTAACACGAAACGCTAAATAGGGTACCCAACAAGGCCAAGGCCTTGAGTGATTGGTTGATTATATAGACTGTGAACACAGTAGTCAACAGTGAACCAGCGTAAAAATTCGTCACATAAAGGTGTGTCAGTTCTGGTCAGAAAATAAACATTAAAATAGGTTAGGATTCAGACTACCATTAACCCGGCCGTCGCAGTCTCTGACAGGGCTGTAAGTCCTAAGGGTCCATCTGATCACTCAGCCCTGTGCATGACCGCCGTTACCAGCTTTAACCACCTGACCATTCCGACACCGGTACCTGTGCTAGTTCACCCGAACTGTATCAATCAAAACAAACGCATGAGTCATGCACCGCCTTCAATTCACACACACGAGACAGCTTCGTTGAGCCACGCAGCAAAAGGTTGTGCTTCTCCCTTTCTGGCCGTCTTCATCTTCGCGGGTATCAGGATGGCGTAATCGGGCGAGATCCAAGACAGTGGCTCCGGCGTGGTTTGGAAGTATATGCTAAGGCCGTCGAAAAATCTTCATGTAAGGAAACCGTCAAAAAGCTAATAGTATTCAAACGTTACAGTGCGTTCCAATAAAATCCAAAATCCTGACGTCTTGAAGTTGGAGCAAGAAAAAATTTGCGCGACTTCAAGGTAGAGTTGCATTAGGTAGAAGCTGTCGCAGGACTAATTCTGTTTGGTCGAACTTTGCCTCTTCGCTAGACCGTCACCAGTTGGCGGTGTTTTTTACCACGCGTTGCAATGTGTATTAAATGGACGGCCAGTTGGCGTTTTCAAGAATCCTTCGCTCATTTAGAAGGTGAACTGACAAGCTACAGCAAAAAATAACAATCACTAATTAATAATGACTGCAAATTTATTAAGTTATTAATGGCTCTGCCAATTACTAGGCTATTAATCTACCATTGATAAGCAATCTAGGTGACGACGAAATCGCCTTGTCATCAGCGTTCTGCAATACAATTCCTCACATGCTTTTGTAGGGGTCAAGAGAAGCAATGTGGATGAGATGCAACAGTACTTTTTTATGTCAGCAACATGTGGTTCAAAATCAACTGAGAATGGCATCAGTATTTCAGTGATCTGTGCTAAGCTTGGGTTGCCCCTAAGCAAATTACACAGATGCCATCCTGGCGATTCAGACACTGAACTGTATGTCTTTGAAATGACTTGGGGTTTGAAAAAAACAGAACATAAAATCCAGAGTTCTGGTATGAAGTCGAAGTATAAGGACTATGTATGCTAATATTTTACCTAAAATATGAATTTTTACACTTTTCCAGGCACAAAGGAACTGTGTAGGATTTGCAGGTTAATGAAAACTTGGTGAATATCAAATTAGAATTAGTTGCTGATCAGCGTCCATGTAACATTGACTCCTAGGTGTAATGATATAACACCATGCGAGTTCGAGGTCAAAAGTGTTTAGACTATTCAGCGAACCAATTTCATGTTTTCATTCACAGAAAAAGTTAGTGACCCAGAAGAGCCTACGGATTAAACAGTTTGTTGAAAAAGCATTTTAAGCAGTTTTAGTTCTTTCGAATCAGTAAACTATAATGTTTTCGCTGAAGTTGGCAGTCAATGCAGATATCTAAATGTTTTAAGCCTATGAACCCTTGAAGATGAGGTCCGTTTTTGTTTCAAAGTTGAAAAGTGAGCTAAATATACAGCAAATCTGACGATTAACCATAACTACTGTGTATTCAAATCAGAGCATAGTGAAAAAACAACGATTGTCTAATTCACTTTTAAGGCAAAATGGTTGTCGGCCCAATTATTTAACACTTTATTTATTTTACTGAGAAATCGTTACAAAAATTTAGTCATTGACTGAAAATTATTCCAGCATATGTTAAAGTTAACTACTCAAAGTAAAAGTTGCATTACAAATAGCCGAATTGGCTTTTTTAAAAACACGATAACCAGAAATGGCGTAAAAATTTATCCTGACTTGCATTGATGTCTTTTATTCAAGTGCTCCAACATAATTTAGTTGACGCATCAGGTGAGAAAGACGCAACTAAAAAGCAGGAGAGTCATTTCGTAAAACGCCGTCAAAAGTTGATGGTACATGAGTGCATTAAATTGTTCATAATTATTTGAAAATAAATGACATTGAAAAATTGCACAAAGACGCGAGGATAAAATAAAGAGACCCTAAAGATCGAATTGCAAAGACCGGCATAGCCAAACTGCAACGACGTAAATATGATTAATTCACTTAATACTAATTTTCCACTAAACACAAAGAATCCTTACTTTGTCTACCCTCTAAATGTCACCACGATAAGTGCATTTCAGGGGAGAACATAAACCCTTGAAATAACCCCATTGGGGCAGTCGTAACTTTATAGACTCTGTGATATTTAAATGCTCAGCTGATATAGCAATGTTTATGACTGATTATAATGATGACTACATCCCGTCATTTATAGTTTTATGCGACAAGATCTTTCCACGAAAGACGGATTTACATTGAAACAGAAAAATTAATGTGAGGATTGTAACAATCATTTCTGTTGAAGTTCTATAGTAGCTACGGTAAAATTGGATCTAATGTGATGACGCAGTTTTACATAAGACATTCTATAAAACCTATCATCAGGTTATTGAGAGCTTTAAGAAATTGCCTCCAATATAGTTCCTGATGTATAGCAATGCCAGACTCCTGAACATTAATCAAATTTACTAGTAAACAGGTTAATTACAATTCTATATGAGTTTAACCTTTTTTAAAGTACTATAAGTTTTTCCCTTTCAATTCCATAGAGACTTGCATATTTATCGATTCTTAGAGGTGTGGTGTAATTGTCTGGCAGTTAATCCATTAAAACGTTTAACAAATCAAGAAATTTCATGACAACTAAAATTGATATCAAAGGTCTAGGAACAGACTGCTAATATATAAATGACCTTTTCCTGCACTAATTTAAATGTGGGAAATTACAATACTTAATAATGTTTTTTCATTAATTTATGAACCTCGCCTAAGAATTCCAGGCCTACCTTTTTTTCAGATTCTTAAAAAAAGCTTTACCAGCAAAGTGAGATTTGTGATTTTGAGGTAGTAGCATAAGTTAATGACTGATATAAAGCATCGATGTTTGTATTTGCTTTTTGACCGCGCGCAGTAAGAGGTTCGAAGATTCTTTTCTGGTCCGGTGTTCGTTTTCTTAGCCGTGATTTATCGGGCTAGTAAGTAAATTATAGAGTAAATATTCTTTAAGTAAACTCGCGTCATATTCAAGCAGATTTTCTTTGTCATCCTGCTTTAATGTACCAAGGATGACTGGGGTACCTTCGAGCAACGGTGATGTTGAATTGGATGATGGGCCTGTTCAAACAAAATCTCCTCGTAAACGGCTTTCTGTCGAACGAATTTATCAGAAAAAAACACAACTGGAGCATATTTTAATCCGGCCTGATACTTACATCGGGTCGGTGTCACGATCAGCCACAATGATGTGGGTTTTTGATAAAGAAAAGCAGTCTATGGTGCAAAAGGAAATCACCTACACTCCTGGTCTGTACAAAATCTATGATGAAATTCTTGGTAATGCTCCGGGAGTATTTATTTTTTGGTGTAGTAAATGCTGCTGATAACAAAATCAGGGATCCTACAATGAATTGTATTAGAATTGACATAAAGCCGTAAGGTTTTACTTGTTTTTAAGTTCCGTTTGTCAGAGAGGAGAATCTTGTCCGAATATGGAATAATGGAGCCGGTATTCCTGTTGTTCATCACAAGGTTGAAAATATGTACGTGCCTTCATTGATCTTCGGCCATCTGTTAACTTCGAGCAATTACGACGACACCGAACAGAAAGTCACCGGTGGTCGTAATGGATATGGTGCGAAATTATGTAATATTTTCAGCAAGCGTTTTGTTGTTGAGACCTCAAGCAAAGACAATAAAAAGTCTTTTAAGCAGGTAACTTATATATCTCTAATTGATTCTGCAGACATGGGTGGATAATATGACCAAAACCTCAGAGCCCCAAATTAAAGTCAACTCTGGTGAGGACTTTACTTGCATTTCTTTCCAACCGGACCTGAATCGGTTTGGGATGACGGAGCTCGACGCCGATACCGTCGCTTTATTCGAACGAAGGGCCTATGACGTCGCAGCATCGACACGTGGCGTTAAAGTTTTTCTCAATGGTCAAAGGATTCCCATTAAAAGCTTCAAGGATTATGTTGATTTATATCTTAAAGACAAGGGTGAAGATGGTGATGCAGTACCGGTAGGTATTCCATCCACCTGTGTAACCCTCGTTGTTACACTTTTTTAATATTTATGATATCTTATTTAATTTGAAAGGAATTTGCAAAATAATTTATGTCCGCTGCTTGGATATCGATGTTCTGTCAGCGTCGTTCAACTGTTTATATGTGGTGTCGTTCCCAAAGTTAGTATCTAGTACACACGTAACCAGTTTTACACTTTACCTCTCAATTTTGTAAACCGAATCCCTTGTCGATTTTTACTTTTTTTCGTCCCATTTTAAGGTTGTATACGAGTCCGTCAATCCCCGGTGGGAGATAGCCGTCGCACCCAGTTCAACCGGTTTCCAACAAGTCAGTTTTGTGAACAGCATTGCTACGATCAAGGGCGGCAAGCATGTTGACTACATCGCCGATCAAGTCGTTGGCAAACTCGTTGATATTGTGAAAAAGAAATCGGGAAAATCAGGCGTAGCCATAAAAAATTTTCAGATTCGTTCTCACATGTGGGTTTTCATCAACTGCCTCATTGTCAATCCCACCTTCGATTCACAGACAAAGGAGTTTATGAGTCTAGAAGCAAAGAACTTTGGTTCTGTCTGCCAATTGAGCGAAAAATTTATTAATCAGGTTTCCAAGTCCGGAATTGTTGAAAGTATTCTATCTTGGGTCCGTTTCAAAGCCCAGGAGAAGATGGACAAGCAGTGCCACAAGTCAAAGCATGCCAAGCTCAAAGGCATACCCAAGCTTGACGATGCCAACGATGCTGGCACGAAGAATTCACAGCATTGCACACTCATCCTCACTGAGGGAGACTCGGCCAAGTCACTAGCTGTTGCCGGTCTCGGAGTGGTTGGTCGCGATCGCTATGGAGTCTTCCCATTGAGGGGCAAGCTGCTCAACGTTCGGGAGGCACCAACGAGGCAAATTATGGAAAATGCCGAAATTAATAATCTCATCAAAATCTTAGGCCTGCAGTACAAAAATAAGTACGAAACCCAGGAGTCTCTTGCCAATTTGCGCTATGGAAAGTGAGTCTGTACTTGATTTCCTACGGTAGCCGTTGACATTTTAAGCAGTTTACTAGCGTTGTAAATGCTCGACAGTCATGCTATACATGTATTCAATTAGGTTTTTCAATTAAAATGTAATGCTTAATCACAAGCATTGCTTGTTTTGTTGTTGCATCGTTATTTGTGTATTAGTTGCCTGAGTTGCTGGGTATTTACTGGCCGGAACGGTTTCCGGAACTTCGTAATCATTTGCCTTTTTCTTTCTAGAATCATGATCATGACAGATCAGGACCAGGATGGGTCGCACATAAAAGGTCTGATTATCAGTTTCATTCACCACAACTGGCCAAAGCTGCTCCACCACAACTTCCTAGAGCAGTTCATCACTCCTATCGTGAAGATCTTCAAAGGAAAGCAAGAAATTGCCTTCTATAGCATTCCCGAATTCGAGGAGTGGCAGAAGGCTACCCCCAACTGGCATACGTGGCGTGTAAAGTACTACAAAGGTATTTCCTACTCTTATTCAAGTCCCAGCAACAGAAAATTTTGACCACCCAGTCAGCAACCAGAAATGTTGCAAGGCCTAACTACATTTTTGAACAATATTAGTTTGTTGGAGTAGTTCCGACTATGAGTTTTAAAAAATGTAGATGTTTGTGGTGAACTTAGTTGTCATACAGGTGATATTCATTGTGACATATCCACCTCTTTGCCTGGACAAGGCTTGGGGTTTTGTCGTTCGAGGGCTATTACATGGGCTTTACTAACCTTTATTCAAGCGTTTTTGCAAGCACGCGATTGTTTTATGGGATAGTGATTATGTGTTGAATGCGAGCGCCTGATGACTTCCGTACAGGTGAAAGTGTCATGAGAAAGTGACTTTAAGGCGGACATTAATTTTTTTTAAATTCATGGTGACGCTGATAATCCTTCCTGCAACTTCTCCGACTTTTATAACATATTTCAACTCACACAGTAATGAATATATGCAGATTTCGGACACTTGACTGTCATCTTATAGTTGTTTTTGGTCACTCCTTAATTGATTATTTCTAACAAATAATAGCACTTTATTACTATTATGGGCCCAGTCTGTGTTCGTATATATGGAATTGGGTCGTGTTTTCACTACCTGCGGCCATCTTCTATACCTTCATGTTGACGTCTGCCCAAAAATAAGACATTAACGTATTCCCAATCACTTGTCTCTTCAAATTGTTTCTTGGCGTTCTTTACGAGAACCACCATTTAGAAGGGCTTTCGTGAATCCTCTGTCCTGATGGGACTACTGAATTGTGGGGTTATTTTGATCGCCTATGTTATCCACTTTCCAGGTCTGGGTACCTCGTCAAGCAAAGAGGCCAAAGAGTACTTCAGCGATATGACGCGACATCGAATTCGTTTTCGTTATTCCGGCCCTGAAGATGACAGTGGTATTGTGTTGGCCTTCAATAAAAATAAGATCAATGAACGCAAACAGTGGCTTACCTCCTGGATGGAGGAAAAGCGACGGCGAACTGAACTTGGTCTACCCGAAGACTACCTGTATGGTGCGGGAACGCACACCGTCACCTACCACGATTTCATTCACAAGGAACTCGTACTCTTTTCGAACATGGACAATGAACGTTCCATTCCATCTTTGGTAGATGGGCTGAAACCCGGTCAAAGAAAAGTACGTCACGATGTCCTATTGGTGGTTTTCTAGCCTTTTTCACGGTCAATACTGCAAGCACACTTGTCAAGTCTCCGTACGCCTAGAGCACTTATCTTTGTCTCTGCGATGATTTGACATTTGTCAAGCTACTACCCTCTTGGCCATTTAATCATCAAAACTTGTTTAGTGGCTCCATGCTATGTTTTTTTATTTAAGATGCCATCACTGCTTGATTTTTAAGCAGAATCAGAAAACGCTAACCCACGTCTAACCATTAGACTGCATTCAATGTTAATGCCTTCCTCAAGTGTTTCCTAAATTTTTAATTGACTTGCGTTTTAATATTTGAAATGTATCGTGTAAAGTCCTTGTATGAGGATATCGAGTGAAGATATCACTTGAAGCCTTGCTTACAACTAGAGGTCGTCATTTTGCTAAGGCGAGTCCCCGTTTTAGGTCATGTTTACATGCTTGAAGAGAAACCAGGTAAAGGAAATCAAGGTGGCACAGCTCTGTGGCGCGGTATCAGAAATGTCCTCGTACCATCATGGTGAAATGTCGCTGATGGGCACCATCGTTGGTCTCGCACAGGATTTTGTCGGTAAGTGAGTCCCTTCCCCCTAACTCGTTTTCCCGTGGTTCGGCTTGCATCTTTGGCCTTAGCGTCTCCATTGGCGGGTACTTTCCATCTTTCAGGCTGGATGGGTCGGTCATTCTAGATTGTCTTATTTCGCAAACGGGCAGACAGTTTGACCCGTGCGTGCGGCTTGGTCTCTGGCGTTTGATCACCTTTTACCCTTCCAACGCTAATTAAAACTCCCGCTAGATTTTTCCTACGAATTTTGATGCAAATACGGTAATTTTACAGAAGTCGCACGTCGAAATGGCTCATTTTGCTCTTTCGAGTATGCCAAATAAATCATGGCACCGTTATTGACGTTCGAATAATGCTTCGGTGTATTGTTAACTTCGAATGGGGCTCGCATTCGATTGCATATAACTTCTGTATGTCTAGAATGAAAAGGGTGGTCTGTTTGTCTAGTAGTGAAAACGACGGACCAATTTCTGCTTTGAGGTGAAATCACGTCCCATCTACTTTGCTCGTTTGCTCTTCATGCAGTATGTAATTCCAGGTTCCAACAACTTGAACCTTCTGATGCCCTACGGTCAATTCGGTACTCGTCTTTCCGGTGGCAAGGACTCTGCGTCTGCGCGTTACATTTTCACGGCTCTCAGTCCGTTGACGCGTAAAATTTTCCATGAGAACGATGACGCAATCCTCCATTACCTCTTCGAAGACAACCAGAAAATTGAGCCATCCTGGTACATCCCTGTGATCCCAATGGTTCTCATAAATGGAGCTGAGGGCATCGGCACAGGTTGGAGTACGAAGGTGCCGAATTATGACACCGCCGAAGTGATCGCAAACATCCGACGGATGCTCGATGGCGTGGATCCGCTCCCCATGCTGCCTAGTTACCGTGGTTACCGAGGGAAGATTGTGGAAGTGGGGGAAAATCGATATATTTTGTTCGGAGAGATCGCTGTGCTCGATGATCAGACAGTAGAAATCACCGAACTTCCGGTTCGGGTGTGGACGCAGTCCTACAAGGAGACTGTTCTTGAACCGATGCTCAATGGAACGGAAAAGGTGCCCGTGAGCATTACGTAAGTCAATTGTCGCAATTTCGCGTCACTTGTTCAAAAAGCTGATTTCGCAAACTCGCCTTTTTGCTGCTGTTGTCTAACCTTAAAATCAGTGGTTTACCACACTAAGCAGTCACCCAAATCTTAAATCTACAAAATACAAAAGATAACGAATTTCAGCAGTTTTAACGGTACGTAAATTCTACATGGGCCTTCATGATTTTCACAATCACTGTAGGTACGATTCCCTAGTTTAAGGGTTGCGAGATTAACACGCACACACATATAGGTGCCCTGTTTTACGGTTAGCTCTGTTTATATTGTCTAGGCAAAGGTTTTACTCTGAAGTACCGTTTCTTTTATTTCGCCAAGATTAAGCGGAAATATATAGCAATTATGGTAGTGTTAAAACAGAACAAAGCAGCCTTGAATGACTTCTAGTACATGTCTGCGTCTTCTCCCCTAGAGACTACAAGGAGTACCACACAGACGTGACTGTGCGTTTTGTGGTGCAGATGCCGCGTGAAAAGTTGCGTGAGGCTGAAAGCGTGGGCCTGCACAAGTTCTTTAAGCTCGCAGTCTCCTTGACCACGAATTCAATGGTGCTATTCGATCACGCTGGCTGTCTTAAGCGGTACACATCCGCTCAGGAGATTCTCAAGGACTTCTACAAACTTCGTCTTGAGTGGTACCTGTTTTTATTTGACAGCAAATCGACGCCTTGTGTGGTGTGAAAGTTACGTCAGATTCCTATGTGACACTTCCCACTGAAAGCCTTTTGCAGTTCCTCCTTTGCCGTTAGTCGCACGCTACTACGTGACACGGTCCTCACTTCTCCCCGCACCTGCAGCGATTTTTGAAGGGTGATAGGTCCAAGTTGGATATTTTTCTCCCTGCTAGTTAGCTTATGTTCATATCTGAAGTTGACAATTTGTCTTATGTGTTTATATAAGGGTTTCTAGGAATACCGAATCCTCTGCACTCTCCAAAAGTGAGCTTGCCGATTTATACTTACGGAGTCGGATAGTGCCACCCGCTCATTTTCAACGAGTTGCAACTAAAATTCTCCTATCATTTCTTAAGGCATGCCTGTATTTAAATTGGGTCTGTGAATTTACCGTCCGTAATGCATTTTCAAAGTCGGATTTTCCAAAACTACATGTTTATTCACCTTCCGGTAACAATAAGCGTAACTGTCAGGGTTGACAGCCTTCTCGGTACATGTACTAACACACTTTCTTGTACTCCCAAGGTACGAAAAACGAAAGGCCTTTATGGAAGGAATGCTTTCCTCAGAAGCCCGACGTTTAGAAAACCAGGCTCGGTTTGTGATGGAGAAGATTGCCGACAAGGTTACCATCGAAAACAAGTCGAAGAAGGAGTTGCTGCGTCTCCTTCGTGAACGGCACTACGATCCAGACCCAGTGCGCGCGTGGAAGGAATCCATAGACAAGTTAGCGGCCATTGAGGACGCCGCCGCGGCAAGAAGACAGGCCGGCGAACCCGAGGTTGGAGACGAGGAGGACGTGGACCAAGCGTCGGGAACCGCCGACTACAACTACATCCTAGGAATGCCCCTCTGGAGTTTGTCGAAGGAGCGGAAGGATGATCTTCTGGCTCAGCGAGACAAGAAACAGGCTGAGCTGACCAACTTGATGCGTAAAACCAACAAAGATTTATGGAGGGACGATTTGGATGACCTTGAATCTGCGATTAAAGTAAGGACAAAGTTTGTTTTTCTGGAGCTGTGTTAGCCGCAGTCATTTGTTCCATCGTATTCAGAAGTGGCTCTTTACTGGGTCGTGAACGTTGTTTTTTTTTCACAGAAATATGAAAATGAACGCCTCAAAGACATGGAGAGTCTGATTGAGGCTACTGAGAAGAAGGTTGCCAAGCAGACATCCTCCAGTGCTAAGGGTGGTCGGAGCGTCGTATCCAAGAGCGCTGCATCCAAATGCTTCCGTCAGACGGCACCAGATCCACTGGGTCGCCGAATTGAGCCTGTCATCGACCCTGAGTTGACCAAGAAGGTAGAAGCTTTGGTAAACAAAGACGCCAAGAAGGCAGCAAAACAGGTGGCAGCTAGTGGTGATGCGAACGATGGTAATGGCTATGTCTGGCCTTAGCTTTCTGTTCTGCCGGTTCTTATTTCCTAATGAAATTGTCACTGCTCTCTAGATGACTTCCTAGCTGACCTAGATGATGATAGCCAGTTCGGTGGAAGCGAACCGCCACCACTGTTGAAAAGACTCAGTGGCACCGTCGACGCAGGGTCTGTAGTTTCTGCTATCACCTCTCTCAACGCAGCTGCCCCCAAGAGGGGAGGTGGCGGTGGCCGAGCAAAGGGTCGCGGTCGAGGTGGCGCTTTGGCCGGTGGTCAGTTTCTGTGTTAAAGCCACCCCTTATTCGTAATTCCCTAGAATCGTTTGATAATTCATTGGCCTTTTTGCCTTATCGCCTAGTTGTTAACGCAGACATGAGCCTCGTTTACCAGTTTACGCAAAAATAATTAGTTAATATCGGTGTTTTAGTAGCCATCGAGACTCGTACGATCGCAGCCGTGTATATTCAACACAAGTGTTAGAATAATTTCGGTGATCTTAAATATTGCAAAAATCGCGACCCTTGGCAGTGTTGTTATCATCTGCAGACTTGTTCATGAGCTACTCAGAATTAATCTAAACATCATCCTACATTTGTATGGCATTACTTAATGGAATAAAACATGAGTTGCCTATCTCCACAGTTATCGTTGATTGGCAGGTGTTAAGCGATCGCCAGCGAAGAAACTTCGTCAAAAGAAACTTTCCTTCGACAGTTCCGAGGAAGAAGAGGACGCCTCCGATGGATCCGAATTCTCCCCGTCCAAAATAAGTGGTGTGTCTCTGTTATTGTCATTGTTATAATTTCGGTGGTGGCTTGTGGTAGTGGGCTGCTTTTGCTTTTGATAATACACTGAATTTTGATTCAGTCCTCAACTGGTGTAGCTATCACCTCTAGAACTAGGGACGTTGAAAATGCCTTGCTCGGTAACGAAAAAAATTACATTTTCAAGTTTAATGCTGTTCACTGAAAAGTGGTCTTGGGACCTTCTCGCTAGTATTGCAATTACATCCAGTGACTATTAACATCGGCACCCAAATGTCTAACTCGTTTTCTTTTCGGCCTCCTCAAGCTCAAACCGCTTCACTTGGAGAGCAACCTCGGGCACTGCCATCGCGAAGGACAGCTGCAGCAAAGAAGTACGTTATTGATGACTCAGAAAGCGAGGGTGGAGACAAGTCTAGTGAAAGTGAAGTCTTCGTCGCAGTGGACCACGGCCAGGGTGACAAGGAGCTCTGTTTGGATAGTCCCGTGAAACAACCCACTCCTCCGCCTCAAACAGCCAAGCCCTCTGCTGTGTACGTTTGGGAGATTTGTTGAATGCTTTCCCCACCTGTCCGGCTGGGAAGGCCCAAAACGTTTGTGTTTTCGCCTTGGCGTGCATCAACTTGACTGGAGCCTGTGTGCAATGAAAATTGATTAGGACGATCTCCATCTCTGTACAGTAATGCTGACTTCTAGGAATACCTAGTCTATTGGCAAGTAGGCAATTATGTGCTTATCGGGAATGTGGGTTTCAGTGGAGAATATTGTACTCGGGTGGCAGTAAGGTCGTGGGCTTCCTGTTGGTCTGTGAGTGCAATTAGATTTTGTACACTTGTAGTTGGCCCATATCCTATAACAAAAACGCTGGTGCTGCTGGCAAGAAGCCCTCCAGAGGTGGACGCACGCAAGTTAGTCGCGCCAAGCGAGCAATGGGTAGTTCTAAGGTCGCTGATTCATCGAAACCTACTTCCAACAATCCGCCTTCTCAAGAAGCCGGTGTTATTGACGTTGACGACATATTCAAACCTGGTGAGTCCTTTTATTCCATGTTTTGTAAAATATGATACGCAGGCAGTGGAGATTGTTCGTTAGTTCGTTATTGTAAATTGTTTTAGCGTTGTTAAGCGTTGTTCAGAGGCTTGTGCTTCTTGCTGGCTAATAAGTTTTTGAACCAACTTTATAGCTGTTTTTGAGGCCTCGAATTTGGAGAAGTGGGGGTTATCTAATGCGTCATCTAGTAGTGAAACGATGACCACCTTTCGTGACACTTCTCATCCAATACCTCACTAAAACTGTCGTGAATTTTGAACCCCGTTAAGTATGCTATTCCGCTCTAATGTTCCAGTTTGTCGATGTTACTTTAGTGCCACAAACGTGTGTTCGTACTCCTTGTACGCATTGTTCGTTTGTTGTGAGAAATTATCCTGCATTGTGAGGTCAGATTGTGGCTTACCTTTTTTTGCAACTGAAGATTCACCGGTTGCTAGTGTCCGCGCGACCACAACCCACCCGACGCGACCCAAGTCCCAGTACGTCTTTGACAGCGACTCCAACGACTCTTCTGGTGGGGGCGGGGATTCAGTAGACAATGATTTCGGTCCTCGATCCAAAAAGCCAGCGTCCCGCGGTGCTAAACGGAAACGTATTCACTCCGATAGTGACGATGATTACGTGCCTGAATAGGGAAAACAAGTTTTACTATGTTCTTGCTTGTATTGTGTTGTAATGAAAAGCATTTTTAAAACCCCCGTGAATATTCGCTTTACTTTTGTGTGCTTTTGAGAAGTAACCTAACAGGTGTGTCTGTTTTTATTCTGTCTAACGGCATTTTAGCTAGAATTGGTCTGAATTCCACCCACACTAGGGACGTATTGCTAATTGACCACAGAAATTGTTGGCCACCAAGTTACTCCCGACCTTTGATAACTTTAGTTTATGTGTTTTAAGGCATGCTTGCCTAGTCGACTTTTGTTGTGGCGGGCTTAGCCACAGCCACCTTATGACCTTGAACTGTTTGGCATGCACGGCAAACCTTATTAGTTAGTAGCTGTAAAAACCGGAGAACAGCGGCATTACTGGCGACAGCGCAAACTGCCGTTTATTCGTCTCTGGCCATCCTATATGTCGCCTATGAAAATTCATAAGCGTGAATGTCTGTGGCAACCTATGCGGAATAGAGGTTAGTTAAGTCGAGAACAAAATTCACACACCCGTTTGCGGAAGGTTGATTACATGCTTGTTTTAGGAAATCAGCATATCTAAAACTTAAGTTATAAAGATTTGCACAATTTTGTATTTTTAACTATAAACTGCGCTTTATGCCCACCAACGTTCCTTCTAACATTCCCTCCTTTTTCTTATTGGCCATTCACTTTTACTAGTTCTCTACCGGGATCGAGGCCGCTCATGCAAAATGTGAACGAGCAGTCAGACATTGACTGAGACAGTAAAGGCTTTTTACACGATGTTTTACATTATCTTCGAAAGCCCTTGACTCATACGCGTTTTTTATCAGGGTGGTAGTGTGGGGTTCTAATCACGTGCATCTGTGTACCTGGTGCAGTAACACCTTTCATAAAGTACGTTACAAAGGTGGCAACACATTTTAGAATGGCAACCCATTATTCTGAGAATGAGTTGACTGTAATGGCCACTTCATTGTGTTGGCTATTCAAGCAGACCATTTAGCACCCGGAAATAGAAATTATCAAGTGGTAGTGCAGTTTGAGGGACTCCAATGGCGCCCCTTTACGGCTGTCTGAGCGCATTATCCTAAGATGATCAAACTTACAAGACATTCGAAGAATGGTGATATTCTGCCTTCCATTCATCTTAGTTTTCACCATAAAATCTATAATGCATTTGAGCGATAAACGGAACCTTGATGCTGCTTGTGGTTCCTACATGTAGCACTAGGTTACAGGCACTGAGAATTTTTTTGATAGATTTAGAAATGGCTTGGAATGTCTTTGTCTAAGCAATTATTGTGCAAAGAAAAGTCCTAGTATCTTGCATGTACGTGTTATTGTCTGGAGTGAACATTGCTGTGTTTATCATATTGATATGCAATTAATTTGTTAAAGTATAATAAGCATCACTTTACATCTCAGTTTTCAAACCATTTAATCTTTTCGTAGTAATGATTATGTTTAATTGTTTTGTTTTTTTCTAAATGTGAAGTTTTTTTTAGAATTCTCAAGACAACAATATTTGAATCATGGTTTAGCCCAAAGTATTCAAATGGAATTAAACAGAAAATAGTTGCACTGTAAATGGACAGCTTTGTCGTTTGTGTTTAAACCCAACCACTTTTATCTATAACATATAATGTCAAATTAGCTAATTAAATATTAGAACTACATCTGCAAGCAACCGTGAGATTATTTTTGAGCTTAAAACTGTAGGAATTTTTGACCGGACATGGTGTTCCTTATTTTGGTGCAAGGGTATATTCGGATAGTCAGAGCAACGGGAGTCCAGTATTGATTTGTAACTTATGCCATTTGAAAATATTTGTTTTTATTAATTTACCTAATGACTCTCAAAACATTTAACATCAAATTTCAAGAGCTGTGGTTGCATTTAGGCTACTTTGCTTTGTTAACTCATTGTGCTAAAGTTCAATATTATTAGTAACATTAGTTTCCTATTTTAGATTTGCAAAATCATATATTCAATCAAAAATAATTAACTGCTAAAAAAGACAATTTAAATTGGTAATAAGAGTTTTTACGACTCATTTTGCTCCAATACATTTTTTAATTATAACCTTGTAATTAGTTTTAATTACCTGAAGGTCAATTTTAACTGTCGCTAAAAGACGCCTGAAGCATTCAAAGCGTCATTTCTTCGAAAAAACACTTTGTTGATTTACTTTGTCTATGAGATAGTAAATCTGGCAAATAAATTTAGCACTAATGTACATTTACTGTCGGTTCAAATTCAAGCGTTTGTTTATTAATATTACTAACTCGGAATGAAGTATTCTAGCAATCAACATACCAAGATTTATATTTTAATGTTACACTTCTAAGAACAACAACTGTATATGATTTTTTAAATAACCTATGTTTTTACAATCACATTTGCGACTTGTTCTCAAGCTGTTTACTTTTCATTTGTACCTATGGGGAATCCGTACATATATCTGATTGTTATTAAGGTATTTTTTACTTTCGTTTAACAATATTAATTACTGTTAGTTTCGTGGCCCTTTAAATTGGTCGACATTGTCTTTGTTATCCACGCACTTCGTTTTTGCGACGCACTTTTTCTTTCGTCGACTGTTCTGCGTCTGTGAATCATGCCTATTAATGAACTACATGGATTTTTATTTGTGAAATTTCGATAATTTATAATGGCAGCGTTGTCCTTGATATATGCTGATTGATATTACATTTAACTATGTTTGACCTTTTGTAATTGTGCCATCCGTAGTTGTCTGATTTTCAACAGAATTATTCAAAATATTTTTAGATATAGGGTCTAACCTCAAAAACCTTACAGATTAATGCATTTAACTTTGTATCCTAATAAATCCGTAAGTGCAAATCTATAGTTAACAGTTATACGCTTGTATTTTTCTAGCTCTGTGATGAATTCTAAGAATACTGTCGAACGTCTGCGCTCGAAATTATGTACTGGAACAAATGTCCTCAGAACGGTCAGCAGTTTAATTGAAGATTGTAACCATGTTCTTTTTCAAATATTCGTAAGAAAGAAATTTAATATCTAGTTTTGTTAATCAATCAAACTTTAAAGTGTTTTTTTACAATAGGATCAGAAAGTGGCAAATAAAGTAATTGAAAAGAGTGCTCAAAAGTGCCCTTTGGAGAAGCAATTCGAAGATCATTTAAAAATAATTTACAGTCGAAAAGATATAATCGCTTCCAATCGAGCCTTAAGAGATCAGCAGATTCAACTTGCAAAGGAGGCCGCTCTGAATTTAGCATTACAACAAGAAAGAGTTCGAAAATCTTATATATAACAAATGTTTTTAGGAAATGATCCGTCGCGAGCAATTAAGAAAGAAGAATAGGAGACAGGAAATTTCTGATAAAATAGCTACTGAAAAGAATCGAATAATAATTGAGCAAAAACTCAAATTGTGTCAAGACATTTACTCTAGCGAAACAATTGATATGGTTGACTTGTCACTTTTGCTTGCTTTTTTCAAAAGACATGCAGCCAAGTAAATTTTCCATTTATCACATCACTGCTTAAGCTTTCGTGCTGGTTGGATTGTACGATATTTGAAGTATCTTTTTATCAACAAACAATCACTAAATCCTCGGAGCAGCTACCTAAACCAGTTAGAATTTGAAGATTTTGAAGTGAGTTGGGTCTTCACATAGTTACTTTTTGAAGTTAGTTGAAGGCGAGTGGATGCTTGTGTGTAACAGCAAGGATGGTGATATTATCATCAATAATGATCGAACACTTGAGCTTGAGTCTCTTCCTCATTTTCATTTGGCACATCCCAAATCAGAAATTGAGAACGTATTTAAGTACATAGATTTACAAGTAAGTTCGTGCAGATTTATCCGGTAAGCGGCCAGTTTAATATGCATGTTGTATTGCTTTAATAGTATCTCTAAAAATCCTCGAAGTGCAAATTGTAAATGCCAATTGATGATCTTAGTATCAATATTTGTTGACTTATAAATGTAGGCTGCTTATGCCTTAAGTAACACCATTAATAACTCCTTCTTTCAAAAAAACGGTTTGAAATGTAAGTTATGCAAATATTTTCGACAAACTGCTACTTACACATGTGATAACCGTGGTAGATTGTGTGTTCTGGAATTTTCTGCATTCCACGCAAATGGAACTTCTGTTGAATCAATCTTCTTAATTTAATTCAACAGAATGCGGGAGAATAAAAGTGCATCACTCTTAATTTTCTAGAAATTTGAGTTTGATGTGGCATTCAGCGACGTTTTCTGTCAAAATTTGACGTGTTTTTAGAAATGCGTATTGTCAAATAAGAATGGATTTTTATAAAATTTTTCACAATTATCCTCCAGGAAAAAAACCGAATATGAGTACACATCTATGTCCAGTGGAATCACTAAGCAAACGTTTTTGTGGCGTAATAATACGCGCTGCAAACACTGAGAATAGAGAATGTTAAAATGAATAAGTACTCATTGGTAGTTAAACTGCAAGGCAACACGTGAGAAGTAAAAAGAAAATGAAGAAGTCGGGCACAAGATCAGGTTCCTCATATCTTACAAAACATTCAGGAATGTTCTTGAGCACATCCCTCAGATCACTGACAACTCTTTCTCTTAACACAGGCAATTGGCGGACCCGCTTTTCCACCATGACACCTCAATTGCCTGTCGTGATAAAATGATGTAAATGTTTGTCACTGGAGGTCATTTAAAATAATTGAAGTGGTTGAGTTAGAAGTCTAAGTGAGTAGAAAACCATGGCGAGTCAAATTAGAGCTGAGGACTGATTCGCTTCTCTGTGTATCGACTGCGTTATTTCCTTTTTGGTTTATGAGCTTGGGCTAATCTTTTAGCCTGAGAATTTCACTTTAGGACTCGCATACGCGCGTGTGATGGATACAGCGAGAATTGTGTCGTCGAAGCAATCTGAAGGGTCCATCGTGTGTGGATTGAAGTGGCCGGTGTTTGCGTCGTGTGTGGTAAACATGAGGACAGGGTGACAGTGACCTTTGAGTGTGGGGAATTGTATTCGTTGAACGAGTTTGACTGAGTTTTGATTTCCTCGTTGTCTTCGATACTGGTCCAACATTACTTGTTAAGATATCTAGTTAATCGGATTCAAATTAGGACAGGGTAATATTCCCGTCCAAAAATCTTCATATTGTGTCATTTGACTGAGGATAGTAGACGGCAATTTAAGTGTGGTAGTTCCTAAAATCGGGACAACATTTTGAAACAGACCTGACCGGAATTTCGTTCCTCGGTCTGCATTGTAATTTCAACTGTTCTGTTTAGGATATCTTGCATTGGATGCTCGTCTGCCATCATGTTAAGCTGTTGACGTACATTGGCAGGTAACTTGGCAATGGTTCAATGATATCTATGTGTGCGTCATTAAGTCACCCATCTAGGGTGTTAAATTGCGCCAGAGGTTCATTATTATAACATATTTGGACATCTGACAACCTATTCAATATAGAGTTTGCTGTTTGTTGTCGTGTTTTACGGCAAGTCACACGTAGCCTTTTTATATTAACTTTCTTGTTGCAAATAGACGTTGATGAGTTGTTAACTGCGAACTAGCACACTCGTTGCGATGCCACGAATAACAATGCTGGTGGATTCGAAAAGCAGGACCTTGACTAACTCGAATGACATCTTCTGTTTCCGGAATACCTGTTTTGCGGGAAGTTGCATCGTTGAGCATGTGACTGACAATTAACTCCGTGAATGAAAATCAATACTTCATACATTAAATCAAATTCTCATTCCCACATGCATTTCCCTCGTGTCCACGTTAGCGTGAAATTTATTTTTGAATCTATTGGTAACAGTAAACTAAGTAAAAATTCATTTCGGAATCTGTTTTGGTCTTGTTTATGAAACATTCTTCGACAAATCAGAATGATGATAGTTTTTTAAAGATCAATTCAAAACCAAAATCTTGAAGTCAAGGTTTAATACTCATTTAACTTGATCTGACTGCACACCTAATTCAACATCTTGGAACATTTTTTAATTCAACGAGATAAGTGCGAGTAACACCTTGTTGTGGGCCCCAGCACGTGGTTTTAGAACAACGGTGGGGCTGCTGGGTTGATTCCGGCCCGATTACGCTTCCTGCTACCCGCGATGCAAAAACGACTGGAAGGGACGAGGACACAATTGCTTACTTCTAGATCTCAACCACGTTGGTGTCGTTATGCCGTATATGGCGTTTGCGCGTGTGTATTTATACCTCTGATGTGTGAGGTAACATCGAGATCTAGGTGTGGGGATAATCCAGGATAAATGTTCGAGCGAATGCGGGAGGGAGTTGAGGATCCGCGCGGATGTAGGCGCTGGAATCAAAGAATAGTAAAAAATAAATCGATACATTAAACTTTCATTGAAGTTATGCCAGCTAATAAATATCACAAAAGTAAGTTGAATTGACCCTAAATGTTAAACGGTAAATGTATGCATCAAATACAGTCACAATGGGAAACCTTGAACAGTGTTCCAACAAAACCAGTATAGTCAATCAAAGGGTTATACGGAATTAACATGACAAATGTTACAGTAGGGAATAGAAAATCAGCACTCAAAATGATTTTGATCAGGCACAAGACTGCACAAGAGTTGTTGTTCAAGCTCAAATATTTGATAACTTTTTGATACAAGTTTTATTTTTTTGCTTTTTATTTCTTTCGAACTTAGGAAGCTGCAAAAGACCAAAACCTTGCAAAACTTCAGCTTCGTGGAGCAGTTATAAGGACGCCATTTTGTAAACAAGTTCAGTATACAGCTGTTCACGAGGCAGAAGGTAGTTAAAAGCTTCCGTACTATAATTTTGGAAGAAAGCATCCAGGTCTTCTGTGCGAGGGATTCCGTTGAAGATCCACATCGAGTGAACTTGGAGCCCGCCTCACTTTCTGTTGAACAGATGGTGGAGTTGAAGTATGTGTGATTTGCTGACTTCCTTTTAACTCTTCAGAAATCTACCCCTTTCGACAAACTGGTTGCTGGATAATTGTCCTATCAATCTAAATGAAATAAAAGCGCTTTATGCCAGCTTTCACATTAACTTCATTGTCTTCGTTTACGTAGAACAGGACGAAGTCATTTTTAGGGCTGTGGAAGAAGGCTGGGATTCGAATGATCTGCCACTAAAACTTGCCCAAGCCGACTACGAGTTATCGCAAATGCTGAAATTCTTTCAAAATGTGGGCTGTAAAGTATGCGGGATAAAGACTGGCTTCTGTGAGGATGTCAATCCGGCAATTTCTAAAGCCCTCGAAGATTTTCTACACCAGGTAAGTTTTTGAAAGTGTAGCCATTTTGCAGGCGCGCCTGACAATGACCGAGCCTTCTTCTACTGAGAAAATGCACCATGATTTCCTGGAGAGAAATGGGGAGGCTAAAATGAGTAAGAACACACGAACCTTTTAATTTAAATTTGAAAATGGCGCGGAATCACTTGTTTGTATTGCCAGATTCATCATCAAATTGCGAAAGAAGCTCTTCAGTGTTTGACGTTTGTGGAAACCCATTGTTCAGACGAGTGAGTACAACCAACAAACGCCTTTTCTCTTCTCTCGAAACGCCCCTTCTCTTCTTTTACATACCTCATTCAGGCGGATGTTGCTCGGCTTCGAGAGTTAAAAAGGGCGTCAGATGCTGCATTTACCAAGAGCCTGAATCAGGCGCTGGCGGAACTGCGACTGCAACGTCTGAGCATCATCGAGCACCTCACTGAATGTGAAAAGTTCATGTCATCTTGTGTGAGGAGGCCCAGCCAGAGGCAGGAATTTGTGGACAACTTCCAAAAGGTTTAGCGCCGAAATGCCTCAACTTAACACGTTCCTAATTGAAGCAATATTTTAATTTGTACAATGGGTTGTAGGATTTCAATGCAATTCCGTTTGAACTGTTGCAAGACGAGGAGACAAAGGCCGAGCGTCACCACCGCCTATTCGAACTTTGCTGTGCTCTTCGAAAGGTGACTGAGTCGCGAAGCCAGGAAAGTCAAGATGTATTGAAAGAACTCACTGAAAGTCATAGTTGGTATGCGAACAAGCGGGCTATCATCAGTAACATCTTCTGTGTCATGCTTCAAGCCGAACTAGACAAGTGGCAATTCAGGGTTGCATTAATACAGGCGTTCTTCGGGTTAGTTGCCAGCCCGTAAATTGATTTTCGTAGGTCAGGCCGGAATGAGGAAGTTATACCGGAGGAAAATAACGTGGCAGCCAGTTCATTCCAACTGCCAATGCTTAAGGTATGCTTATATCTACTTCGATGCAACACTTCTTTATAATACATTAATAACTAACATTAATTTTATGCGCAAGCCGTTTCTCTTTGTCTCGACTCTGAATTGTCAAAATTATACTTCCTTGTGTTGTTATTAGGCCGCCGTTCAGTTGATTACTACTGTCTTAGATATACGATTTGAGAGACTGAATGTTCATTTTTAGCTACTGGACTCTATATCGCTGTCGATTTTAACTAACCAGAAGACGCTTACTTCCAATCAGCATTTTCGTGCCTTATACTATGTCAAGCCTTGTTAAGTATATAGTGGTTACTTAAATTTTTCGCCCTCATTTAGGTAAATACCAGGTCAGTTGTATGTGGGCCTCATTTGTAAAGTCAAATACGTCACATCCAAGGTACGGCCGAATTTAGCTCTTGACTCTAACCTAAGGTATCTTAAAGACACGTAATACATGTTAAGCCTCGCTGTCTAAAATGTTCCTATCCGATCCTGTGGCCTTAATGTCTAGCTGAAGGTGTTCTAGCACCCTAGCAGTTTAAGGGGTTTGAATCTGAATTTCAAATGCTCTATAGCCTCCAGGGCTGTGTATTCCAGAAGGCTCTCCCAATCCCTCTGGTGACTTCAAGTCACGGCGGACCCGGGCATCGAGCTTTGCGGTGGGCAGGCGGAAACCGCGGGTGGTTTCGTATGAGCCGGAGCTCTCACATTCCGAGGACGGCGTCAAGCCGCTGCCGATGCAGTTTATTCTTAACGAGGAACTAACGAGCGAAGACATGTTGTCACTCACGCGTAAGTTCCTTTCTACGACCTGGTTAGGTGTTTACACTGGGCGTCGGTTCGGTAGTATCGATTTTAACTAAGCTAAACTGTAAGTCCTCAAAAAAGTTATTTTTAACACTAACTTTTGCGAGTTTTTCTGCATGGTCAAGATTACACTCGTGAAAATTATTGACTTTAAGAAGATGTCTACACAACGGGATTGCTATAAGTGTTTTTTTATAAATAAGCATATAACTTTTTGGGAATCCTTTCGGTCTGCTCGGTGCGCCATTGTGATGCAAAGGGATCTCTTTTATAATGGATATTTATTTATCTGTTATCTGAAATACCTTAATTTAAAGCAGTTATTACCAGTTTACTGCTAATTGACCTTGACGCCACTATTATCATGGCTCGGTGTTTGTAGACGAAACGCAAACCTCGAAGGCACCACTAGAAACTGGACGTAAACGCTCGACACAACCCACTCCAAGGAAGAAGGTGGACAGAAAATCTGCCAGGAAGAAACCAAGTCAACCTCAACCGAACGACTACTTGCTTGGTAAACAGGAGGAGCCTCCCGACAATGATCTTCACTTCTTCCACGAACTCGTCACGTGCGCCCTCAAGTGTCTACAGATGAGGGTAGGCCATGCGATATGGCTTTGATTAGATTATTAGGGGACACAGGGTCAACTTGCCACGTTTTTCGCCATTAGATCTTGAAAACCAAGCGCACACTGTAAAAATAGAGGCTCGACTTGGTTACCAGGGTGACTAATAAACTTACCCCCACGTGTTTGCAACTGCTGTGCACTTGGAATGTCATTGGTTAGTTTTCTCCCAGGCAAAGATTTCTAGGACAAATATAGGTTCTGGAATAGATTTACGTAGTGGTCTTATTCGCACCGGATGCCAATTTTTTTATCGATATCTGGAATATAATCTCAAGCAGATGCCACCGCCCGTCACTAAAAATTGCGCCTTAGTGTAGGGCTAATGTCATTCTAGTAAATGGCAGTGTACGCACAAAGACCGCACATAACTATAAAGCAACTATTTTCTCTATAATTTCACAGTTTTACCCCCTCTCTTTTTTGGAACCACTTGAAAAGACCATAACTCGATACCTGCGTAAGGTATGAACGGCAAGGCCCAACCACATGTAAATGGCCATGGTAACCTGAGCGCCAGGTAGACTTCAGGCACGCGTTCATTTCACATTAGTTTCGGTGTGTAGTCGTGGCAGAAGCACCTGTTAGGTAACAATTAGCACATCTGCCTGTTCAGCGCGAAACTGCGAGCACAGAGTGACGCCATTCGAAAACCGAGAGCCTGATATTGTATTAAAGCAGCTACTCAATCGAAGTGGCAATCATGGACGCAGAATGCCCCTCTAACTCTTTTCATTACTTGTGTGCAGCTTACTGAGGAACAGACAAAACTTGGAGCATTTATGAACGAAGACGGCTGCCAAACAAACGTAAAACAAGTAAAATCTTCGGACACAGCCCGTTCTCGATCGAGAAGAACTCACAAAAAGGGAAAAGGTAAAGCCTATTCTAAAATAGACTGTAAAAATTATTGATGCTATCAGATGCACCACCTGGGACTTTGCTAAAACGGGAGTAGTGCTTTGACTGGATTACAGTTCGACAAGTCCAATCGCTGATCAGTTTGACAATTAATTCCACCACCTCATAGTTTACCCCTGAAATAAGAATCACGTAAGTGAATTTATCCGCATTCAAAAGCAAAGTAGGCAAGGAAGCATTGCAGTTTGCCGTTTTAGGAGTGAATCTAGAGGAAATAATGGCACGGGCCAGAATTTCTGTCGTGTGCCATTCCCATGACCTCACCTTTATTTTGAATAAAAATACATTATGGATGAGAAACCAGCTCTGTGTGGTACGCTAGTGTGGCAGAAAAAAATTTGATGTCGGTCATTTAAATTAATTCTCTTCAGCTGAAGAGCTCAAAGAGGTGGACGATTCAGAAGAGGCTGAAAAAGCAAGGTCACTTCAGCTCAAGTTTCTCAGCGAAGAAGGTAACTCATTATGGGCTGATTTTAAAGAAGGTTACGAAGATCCCAGTATTTTATTCTACAAGTAATGGTACGCCTTGACATGGGAGGTCCACAATCTGACAGTTCTAGACTTTCTAGGATCTGGGAACAAAGCGCCATTGCCTTTCACTGCTCCAAAATCTTTAACGATTCAGAGCTGGTCTTGGGCTCCTTTATTTTAGTTAGGATCTGGAATCGAGCATTAACACGACCGCTTGAATCCGTTGAAGCTTATAAATCTCTGTACCCACTTTTCACTAATGACTGCAAAAATTACGGTAAAGATCCTTTATGCGGACTACCTTTCAAACGAGTCTTCTTGGAAATGTGAAAATTTGCATGGAAATTACCATAACTATCAGAAAGCCTTGTTTTTTTTCACGAAATTGTCTAAACTCATTATTAAAAACAGTATTGAGAGCATGAAATTTTATAACCTCACGTTTCTTTTTCGATTGTGGGATTTCACTTTGGTATTCTTAGTAAGTAGGATCAACCGAGCATTAATGAGTTATGGCCTGAGCCTGTGACGTTTCTTTCGTACGATTTAGCTGAAAGAAGCTCGCTGCGTTTGCGACTGATCCGCAACATGGGACTGCATTTATTGGGCGAATTCAAGGAAAATGTCCATCGATTTCAAACAGCAGCAACAAGCTGGATCGATTGGACAAACCAGAAATCTGAAGAAGCGTAATTACACGTTCATTTTGATTTTCAAATTCCAGAATTTCTAACCTTGAGAAGTATGTTCAGGATGCAATCGAAAGCGGAAAATTGTTACAATATCGCCTTATGCTTCCAGATAATGAACTGTTTCACGTGTCCCATGTGCGTGAAATTTGCCATTTCCTTATCCAATTACTTTAGGAAGACGTTTTCATACCTAAGCGTTTACAAAGTCTGAGTTTATTTGAACATTCTGACAATGAGGCTGTTAGATCTACAACAGACAAAACTGAAGGGTTGTCAGATCTTGTAAACATGGTAGGTCGGTGAGACTCTTGAATTTTGAATTTACAAGCATACATTTAAAAATATTAAGGAATCGTATCTGTGTGTTTGGCAACACTTTGAGGCGGATAGTGCCACAATTTCAAAGCTTAGGATCATGACATGTGATGACATTGTCGTCGCAGGAGCTCATGATCCATCTTAATTATGCGTGGCTTTAGAATACAAGTTGTTTTTTTATCTAAATATTTTGGGCTTTGAGTCCTATCTAGCGTGCTAATCGAGGCCTCAAGGAGAAATCAAACTTGAATTTGTGGTTTCTCTTCTACTCATGCTAGTAGATTATAAGGAATCTAAATTTAAGGCGCACCCAATTTTCGAAAATTACTTAAAAACTATATCTTATGCTCGAGTTCCTTTTGCATAAGCACAGCCGAAGTGCCTTGTGAGCTTGTACAAAATGACAACTGTGCCATTTCACTGCTGTGGCTGTGAATTTTTACTAAGTTGTCATCTAAGTTTCGAGGTAGAGCACCTCACGGGTTCCTGTGCGAAAAGGAGTTTGCTGAATTGGTGACTGATCGGTTGAGAGCAAGCCCGCTGGAACTGATCAAGGCCTTCGGGTTGCCTGAGGGGATCAAACACACAGGGACGAGCCTCGTACACTTTGTGGACTGGAGGCGCTTCGTTTTCGCCTCTGCTTTGAATTGTCTGGATTCACCATTTGAACTTTCGGGCTCAGTCAGCAAACTGATGGAAATACTTAATGAAGAGGGCAGAGCAACACTAGTTGGTGTTCTACTGTCACCCAATCAAGTCAGAAAGGCTGTTTTCACCCAGGAACTGGAGTTGGTAAGTAAAGGCAGTGAAATTTGACAAAAATAAATCAAAATTAGGGTTCATAGCCGCTACTGTTTCGTGTTTCTAGCACATCAGCCAAATTCTAGAAAATTCTATTGCATTCATAGCTGAGGTGTCTCTAGGGGCTTCCAAGTAAGTAGTAGTGGAAGGACTTCTCGTGACAGTCTTTTCAGTTTTCAGAGTAGCTGTGCACATTGCAACTGTCACTAACTATTCTTGACCCCCACTACATATTATCTACAACCAACCGTAGAATGCCAGTAGGAATCATATGTCGCTCTATATGTGGATATCGCATCTAAACCGCTAATCCTGTCTTCCTCTTCGCTAAATTTGTGTGAACTAGATTTATGATTATGCTTTGTAGAACTACAAATCAAATGTCCTTGCGTTTGATTAAAAACGGATGGGTCCATCCACGAACTTACGCAAACTATCTTGACGGGGGTGGTCGGCATCATAGCATAATTAACCTCGTTAAGATCTCTGACCTGGGCATGAGCACACCGCTACACCTTCGTTATAGGCACTAGTTTAGGCCGCAGGTTTCTGAGTTTGCTTCTTTTGATTTGACTTTTAAACTCAAATGTCATGCTTACCTTCGAAAAGCCCCCAGTTAACATGTTCTATCTCAAAAACAGGATGACAAACGCTGTGACCTGATCCTAAGCCTCTTCCACGCACCGGGATCGTCATCTGTGAAAGTGGATGAGGTGATTTACTTCCTTTCGGCATTTGGCGTCGATTCTCCCTTTGAAGGCATTCTAAGAGCATTAGCTGCGTTAGAATGTTTGATATTGCCTAGAGAGACGTTAGAATTTCTGAAAATGTAAGTTAGTATTCATATAGAAACATTCAACTTGGGATCTGCCAACTGAGGTTGCATAGTTTTCTTACAGGTGCTTCGAAAATCCAGAGGGAGCTCAAGAAGGCAACAATTTTGTTGACGATTTTGAGGTCTCTATTGACGCCATTCAAAAGGTGAGATTACGCTCTACAGGTTTAAGCCTTCGTGTCCTTAATTGTCGGCGGGTAACACGCCTTTCTTTGAATTTCCAGCTGATGGACTGTGTTTTGCTGTATACCGGTTCCGGGGGAATCGAGGCGCCGAACGACGGTGCATTTCAAAAGGTACGTTCAACAATGCATTCAAGTGAGGCAGTGCGATGACCAAGTATGGCCGTGTGAATGTGGCTCCTGAACTCACGCTTCAGCTCTTCCTCAAGGCGGTTCCTGTTGTTTAGCCATACCCTCAGCCCATACTTTGGGGATGTCGGGAAGAACTCAACACTTACAAAATATTGGCCTGCGTGTTCCTACACTTATACAGTAATTGTTTCCGAGATTGTTGCCTGAAAGTGCCGCCTGAAGGAGAAAATAGGCAGGCGGTCGCAGACAATACCAAACCAGTAAATCCAGAATTTTCAAGTAAACGCGTTCGTTAATGCCCAGTGGTCCTATTTCCCCACTACACTCTAAGATGAACTGCTTAGAAAATACACCATCCGGGGATCAATGTAAAAAAAACTCGGATGTCATGCTAAGATGAAAAATGGAACAACTTGTTCACGAGGTCCAAATCGAGGCTCAATAACTCGATTTACGGTATCATAATTAGTTGCATTTGCAAACAAAAGCGGGGCTTCCATCAGCCCCACTGTGAACCACATGCTGGAGGTCAACGAGATGACCCAATCCGAGCAAATAGGCATTCCACGAGAACCCATCCGTCTACCATAAGACGTTCACGTACAACCCAAACCACACTAAAACGCTCCAAATTAAGCCAGATGTCTACGTTACTAGCACTCACACTTGCCTTTTCAATACAGGCAAAGCTGAACGAAGCTATCAGGACCGTATCCGAGAGGAACGGATCTGCACCAATGCATAGAGGAAAGGTCCCCATTTCCCAGCTGCTGCAACAGCCCTCGTTTCACTCGCTTGTCTCGTGGATGCTACCTTACATGCATTTTAAAGCCCTCCCAGAAGGGAGTTTGTAAGAAATCTTAAATTAACCCATTTCACTGCACCAGTCATCGTGCTGTTTCTCCTTTTTACCCACATTGCAAAGGGGTGCCATTTTACTCAAAACCTATATATTTGCAAAGAGAAAAACACGGACTATAAAGTGTTCACTGGGTCACATTTGGTTTCATCAAAGGCGGAGAGACCTATTTCTAGATCGCCATAACGGAGAGATCACGGCATCCAGCTTCGACCGCGAGATACGGGTCGTCTTCGAAGAGTGCTTCCGGACTCGACTCAAGGTAGCGTTGCACGTAGCGAAGGAAGGCTGCTGCCGTGACTTCATCGATAAAGCGCGCATCAGCAGACAGGGTCAAGGTCAAAGTTGTGATCGGTTCGAGGTGGCCATTCTCAGTTTGACGCATACTGCGTTGACCGGAGCCGACGGCAAGGATGGCCACTTGCGGTGGGTTGATTATGGCCGAGAACTCACGAATGCCAAACATCCCCAGATTCGAAATTCTGTTGAAAGACGAAAGTTAGAGAAGGTTTAGGTCTACTAATTCAGGTGGGTTTGAATTTGCACTCAGGAAGACCAACTGCGATTAATACAGAGAACCATGGCAAGCAAAACACGAACCTAACCAGGCTCGAAAAAAGCAATCGCCCCTCTGCCAGCACATGTGAACATATGAGAGTTCGAACCCAATTTGTGGTGGGATTAAGAAATGTTACTTAAAGACATCACGGTTAAGTGTCACAAGCTCGTTGGAAAGTACTTATTCCTCAATATCTCAAACCACTGCAGAGCAAAAATTATGCCTCTGGATGCAATTACTTCAACCCCACTAAAAACTCCCCGGAGGCTATGACGTCCACAAGATGATTCTTAAGTAAACTACATGAAAAAGTACATTTATTATTCCAAAGCCCATTAAAAGTACCACTGTGAAAAATTCGCAGAAATTTACTGGAACGAAGGCTTAGAAAGCTGCTTTTAATTTGTCACAGAGGGATTGTTATTCTTTGCGCACAAAGAAAAGACGGTAGTTCCGCAAGGCGGAAAATTCATAGCAAAGCCCTGCGAAATTTTCAATATAACTACCTGGAGGGCATATCACTTGGGTTTCACCTATAGACCAGAATATGTTTCATCCAATTAAGGTGATTAACAGAAAAACCAGGTTCCCCAATTTTAAGGTACTTACGTAAAGGATCCACCGGTAAATTCCTCCGGTTTCAGTTTGTTGTCTCGAGCCCTTGTGGCCAGGTCTTTCACACGAACTGAAATCTCGGAGACGGGCAGACGATCGGCAGACTTGACAATGGGGGTGATGAGACCGGTTGGAGTTGAAACAGCCACGCAAATGTCTACATCCCCGGAGCGGTGAAAGGTTGTTCCGTCGGCTGCAGAAGTCCCGTTCACTTCAGGAACCAGCTAGAAGTTAAATTAATAGTAGGTAACTAAACAACACACTTAGAAATCACGCGAAATAGGCAGTAAGATTTTTTAAGTCCGTAGAGGGTGCCAAAAAGACAAACTTAAACAAAACGTTTGACCTGAATGCTTATGGAAATGTATTTTGGCAAACTAAAGGCCCATATTAGTCAACAAACCTATGTTACGTCTGCCTGCATTAAAAGCCGACGCCCACCGATTGTCCACATAGTTGCGCCCTTTGGTTTTCAAATGACAAGCAAGTGAAAGTGCTGATAAAAAAACAGGGGCACACGGAATAGGTAAAAAATTGGCAGGAACTTCCACTTATGCCTAAATCCAGAGAAATTACCACCGTAAATCGGTCCTCAGAGAAGACATACCTCCACGACAAAAGCTTAATGATCTTGAGTCACTAACTCACACGGAGAGCAAATGCACAGGCCTTGAGAATAAGGTCGTTGACGGAGACCTTCAAGTCCACCAGCTTGGCCTTGTTCACGGCTCTTTGGAGAGCAAAGAGGCGGTCGACGGTGAAGGTGGAGCTTACGTACGCGTGAGGGATGGTCGCCTTCATTGCAAGACGCTTTGCAATAGTTGCTCGCATGCTGGTTACGGGGATATCGGTGTAGCCGGCTCCGGGAACGGGCGCCCTGCTTGGCGCAATCGGTGGCTGAGAAGGAGCTGCAGCGCATGGCATGGGAGTGGCAGCCTGTTCAACCTTCTGCAAACCTTTGCTAGCAACGTAGGCCAAGACATCTCTGAAGTTGACAAAAGCAATCGCAAAGAGTCAAACTAATGAGCGAAAACAATATCGAGAAGTACTACTTTTAATTAAGTTTAGAAGAAACATGGGTGTAAATATCTTTACGATTAGTCGGTACACTGCAAAAAAACATTGTTTTTGTTAGAACAACGTTTGTTGAGGTGACGTTGCGTAGAAATAGTAAGATGAAAGTATTCAGTACCTTAAATAAATAGGCCGATGGCTTGACAGTTGTTTTGTACTTCGTTTATGGGTTGCATCATAATGAATGAGTGTAAGCATATACATCTAGAACCAAAACGTATTCCCAAATGAAAGCTTAGGTGTGACTTTGGTAGACAATGAAATGCGCAGAAAATGTACACCGTTTGCGCGATTGACAAATTAATCTTCCGTGACCTTGAGACAACATAAGGCTTTCGTGGATGCATGACGTAGTCAAAAAAATACTCCGAACACATTAAACTAAGGTATCTGAATTCAAATTACTACTTACAATGGGTTTTAGAGGATTCGCTGACTAAAAACTCAAATTACCCTTTAAGTACGGTCCCCGAGGGGCCCGTTCCAGTGATCTGCTCAGGTGATAGGCCATAAGAGGAAAGAAGGAGGCGGACCGCGGGGCCGAGGGGAAGCTGTTTACCTCCCGCGGCAGGTGTGGCGGCAGCAGCAGCAGAAGGCTGGGATGATGCTTCAGTTGCAGGAGCAGCATCGCTTGCTGGCGCACCCCCACCCACAGAACCAACAAATTCATCTGCACTAGCATTTACTTCCTTCCAGTCCTCATCTGTATTGGCTAAGACAGCAATTATGTCACCAACTTTGTTAACACTGCCTTCGGGTTTCTAAAAATTGCAGAAATATTCAGCTTCAACGCCATCCGCCACAGTTAGTGGAATGTGTCCAAAACACGGTAAAAATTCTTCTATGAATGTGTCGAGAATTAGGGTTTAAAGAAGCATATAAACGAAACTTATAATATTAAATCAAATTGCTACTTTTACGAAATAAACGTTTTAAAGGAATGCTGTGTGATCCCTCGTAGATAACGCGATTTCAACTATACCAGCAGCATTTCTACTTTTGAACAAGGGCTAGGGCCTGAAATCGGCATCTGCTTCGGGACAAAAGACTGTGGGGCACGGGGATCGAAAACCAGACACTTCAAATAAGTAAACGCACAATTATCTTGGCCATTATGCCTTCCTCGTCAACCTCCATCCCAACAACGGCCTTATCAGTTTGCACTTCACACAAGAGATCGCCGGGAGCTATTTCGTCGCCTTCTTTCTTGTGCCACTGAACAATGGTCCCACTTTCCATTGTTGGAGACAGGGATGGCATGCCCACCTTGATGGGACCTTAAGAATCACTAAATCAGAATATGGGAAATTACAAAGAAGCCGTGAATGCGTATGATAAAGACGCGATCGTAGCAAAGAAGCATTAAAGATTAGTCTACCGAGGCGAAGAAACATTGTCCACGATTCCGAAAGAAACTCAAAACTAGCGCGGCGCAACTGTTTTGTAAGACCTAGGGAAATAAGATCAAGCAAACAACTAATCTAATATTCCATGCATTAGATTTCGTCATTATGCATTTTAAAATGCCTTATTCAGTTATTTTAGAAGTAAAGCGAACCCAGGACCCAATAATTAAAGCAAACTGGCAGTATTTTATTTAAATTTTCCTGCCACAAATGGAATTTGTATGCTGCATGTAAATAATTCCGTGCCGTTGATTAGATATATAACTAAACTGCTCCAATTTGTGAAATCTTGTATATAATGTATATCACATTACCAGTCATGATCCAAAAATTGCCACTAGCTTTTGCAGAATATGTTTTAATATCATGTCGGAACATACTAGACTCAAGTGCGCCAAATTTCCCCAAAATAACTTTGTAAAGAGTAAGTTCCAATTAATTAAACAGGAAAGGTTTTATTCACTACAAATCTTCTAAACATGGCATAACCAGATTTTTGTCTCCTATTGAAAGATAACTTTATTGGCTCTAGTTGATATGAGCACATTCGATGATCACAACATATCAGAGTTAATCATGGCCTTCAACAAAAGTCGTGAAGTGACAAGTAGAGGTAATAAAAAAGTAGATAGCATTCTAATATCCCTTTTTTAAACAATTCTGACCGTTTTTAGGACCACTGAAGAAATTCTTTTGTACCATATTTTTATGCATGCACACGGCAAACACACACACTGTGGTTGCCACATAAATTGATATACATGGTATCGGACGGTCTCATATGCAATGGTGTAATTTGATGTTATGCATCATTTTCGGTTATGGGAAACTAAGTTCGTGTCACATTTTTGTCATTGGAATTATCTGAATAACATTTAAATGAAATGGTAGTGGAAGTCTCGTAAAGTACCCCTCAAATTTTAAAACGAGATTTTATAAATAACGACAGTTTGATTACTAAAGAATTCACTAATAAACGAACCAATATAATACATACTCGTTTACGTCTTCTCAAGTACCACGCGTCTTTCTCTGCCATGCATGTTCGCAGCAGATTTGCTATGTTTATATATTAATGATCCACTTGTCGATCGGACTTATAGATGTTAGTCTTCAACGCTCGTGATTATGGTTAAAAATCTACAATATGTGGTACCTAACGCAAATTTCAATTAACAGGTAACAAGCGTTGCGTTACACCTGATCTAAGACCATAAGATTTAATTCACTTTTTGTTAAGGCAAATGAAATTCAAACTCATTACTGAGATCGATGCAAGCAAATTTTTTTAAACTCATGTCGAACCATTTATGTTTTTGGTGTTATTGTTGTAAAATAGATTATTTAACATGATCGAATTCGGATATCGGTGCCACTGTCTCTGAGGAAATGGATTCATTTTGACTACACCTTAGCGCCCAAATTTTCAACATTTAAAGATGATATATAACTATAAGTAAATTCGTGCCAAACAAGTTCAATGTCAATTGAAAATGAATACGAGCTCTAATTTCCTCTCAAACATTTATTACAAAAGTAAAGGCTTTCAGGAAAAACTGAAAGTTACATATGACTACTGGAACTAATAAACTTGACACATTTGCTGTTGTGATGAATTAAATTTTCGATAAAAGAGTCATAATTCTTGTTGAGGTTCTGGTTTCTTGTTAAATGTCCGACCGGAACACGGAAGCCCCTCTTTATCGAAGAAGCTTTGATTAACGGTTGTTCAAGGAAAAAAGGTACTGTTGATAGTTTCTGATAATAAGTTCTTTGTATTTTGATATATTATGTTTTGCCTGATCCATCCGTACTGTCAAAATTTGTGAACAATTAGTTTTTGCAAGTTTTCAGTCAACGGAATAAACGTTAAGGTAAGGTTGACAAATATTAATTGAGAATGAAGACCCGCACCCCGTTCACAAATGTTACAGCAGCTATTTTCAGAAGTCTTAGTTATATTGCCATTATAACCTCGATGGACTAAATTTTGAGCTGTGCAATAAGCCACGCGATTCTATTTATTGTGAAAAATTACCGTTTTTAAACTGTACATTTTTGTAATATTCGGACATAAATGAGTATTCGAATCATTTAGAAGCTGCTGTGACATAGTTTATAGCCCAAAAGTGCCCTTGTGCCGATGTTTATTCACTGAACCTTGCAAGACTGCTTAGGCATATGCTGAATACTTCGCCATTTTTTCTTACACGAATCACTGTGTTTACTGAATATCGCTCGTTTTCCGAGGCCTTAACATCCAGTAAACCAATCGTTTGGCTGTCCTGTTAAATTGGCACCATCTGTTGCCCTAATCACCTTTACCCATTTAATACACACCCATAGCCAACTCTACAGTAGTAATCCTCTGTGCTATTGCTCAAATTAACACCTTATTTGCACAACATATTAGTTGGTGACCTAGAATCTCGCGGAGGTACGTAGATTACCCAAGCTCAATTATGAAAATGATAGGTAAACATAGAACAACTTTAATAACTAACCAAATAATGTAACGTCCCCCAGGCGCCATTCACACTAGTTCACTATGCTGTCTGCTTCTCATCTTTTACTGTTTTTAAATGGATGACGATAATTTTCGCTGAATGCTATTTAAATTCACAGATTGTGGATTGAATAAACTCAGCGTGATCTAATACGTCTGCGACCTAGTTCAAAACTGCCTTATAACTCCCAATTACCTTTACTCACATAATTTTAAGTAAAAGTAATTCACAAATTCATAAATCTGTTTTACATAATGTCAGAGAAGGAGGTTATAGTATCACAATACAAACAACAAAGCATACGGTTTCGGTTGGATCAACATTTTAACAGTTTGTGCAAGTGATGAGGGATTGCAAAGGCCTTCTTGAAATTAGGGTGTTGACACAGTAAGTCAAGTCTAAGGATAATGCCTTAGATCAGTTTGAGAGAGAAAGAAATGTAACTGTTCAATAGGACAAACTTCTCAAGTATCTGACACGAGGTAATGGACTTTAATGCTGCCCCAGGAGTATCTTGAGTTAAAGCACATTGAATACGTGTTTGAAACCTTAACTTTGAAGAATTAACACTGACAGAACATTTCTGAAGTAAAGCGACATTCAAGGCATTAACGCAATTTAAAATAATGTGTTTATTTTGAGTAAGGAGGTGGGGGAATTGGGATTGAATACGATGAGTCTACTGAATAATTTTTTGAAGTGTCGCTGGTGGGTAAAATGTGGCTGTAAGTCTGGAAATCCAGATGTTGCATTACTCCATTTGAAACAACGGGGTTGTTGTCTTTAGGAGCTCTGGAGTTTGCTCTCTTAGATAACCGGTTAGAAAAACAAAAATAACCCAAGCTTTGAGAATTGGAGTCATAACCCTCACCTGAGACACCATGGCCTGACATAAGAACCATACGTCCATCTAAGTCACATTCCTGCGTCCTAGGCTGAGATTTAGGTGGTTTTTTGTTCCAAAAGCAGGCGAATGAAATTAGCGTAACAACCACTAAAATGACGAGGGTTACAAGCACGAACATCATCACTAGAGTGGCGACAGGAAATTGCTTAAAGTTCCCTCTGATTAAAGTCCATATGTTTTTGTCAGATTTGATTTGAAAGATACTTGATAACCATTGAGAGAAAGAGACATTATTCGTAGGAACCACGCAGGTCTCCTGATGGTAGCAAATGTAAAAGCCGTTATTAAAACTGGTTATGTACTTAACGTTTAGGGACATATGTTGGACTTTCGGGCAACCACACTGCCGATATCGTACACGTCGCCCGTTTCTGCATTCACTCCAATTACTCCAAGACGGACAGCAGTTCGCGAAAGTTTCGCAGTCAACTTGGAATAATTGTAAACGTACAGATCCTGCTCGACAGTTAATATTTTGCTGGCCTTTATCAAGCCCGGAGTCAACGTGGTTGCATTCACAGCCTTGTGTCAAATGTAACAAACACTGATTAGAGTTTGCTTGAGAAGAAAAGGAAGACGGAACCATTGGTGAGCAGTATTGTGTTAAATTAGTCCAGCTACAAATGCTAAAAGTTGCATCGCAGTGCACAATAAGAGAGATGCAGAATTGCAAAATTAGAAGAAGATTCCTCATATTTCTCTGGTTCGCAGCCGCGTTTTCATAAACCTATATTAGCCCGCAGGTTGCCTAAAAGTGAAATAATCATATTTAATCAAATTTCTTAATGTAATAATTTCTTGGAATGTAAAAAATCAACTTTACGATTATTGTATACAACTACTAGACGAATAATAATTCCATAAAGGTTCAGATTGTCCCATTAAGGCACGCAAGCATAGGAAAAATGGTCTAATATATTTAATGGGAATTACAAACACTTAAGTGTTTTACAAAGCAATGTACACTGTTGTAAAATGGACATAAAATGAATATTTATCCTGGAAATTGAACTTATATTGGTAGTGGATAGAACAGGAAAAAGGAGCTACATGAGCCTGCATCAGTAGATACTGAGCAAAACAGTATGGCAATGCCATTTGCAACCACATTTGTCTGGTTTAATACCGAATACTAGAGTGTAATAAAACATTCTTACAGAGACACCACCAGTTTGAAATTACGCAATTAGTAATGCAATGAGAAATCACTCTAGACACGACTTAGCAAGCAATGGGTCACTTAAACAACAACTGGGCATTTTAGGAATATTTTTTAGATACATTGCTATGTATTTAAATTTTTGCGTTATTTAAGCAATTTGTGTTTTTAAACCGATTGTATTGTGCTAAAAACACTGCCTTAGTTTTAAATAAGTTTTAAAATACCGGGATGGCAAATATGGTATTAGAAGTGAAAAAGTCTAATTAAGTAGAATGTTGACAATACATCTTAGTTCTTCTGTAGAATAAAGCACATGTAACTGATTTCACATAATTTGAATAGGTTCCTTAACGAAAAGAGAACATTATATGCATCATTTCATTAAAGTAGAATAAATGTACTTAATTCTACA